TGTCTCTTTTCATTGGCTTTTCCGATTACGATTCTTGTTTTTATTGTTCAATTGAGTGAAAGGAAGGTATAATAATGTATTAATAATGATCATAATGGTAAGTAAAATGTATCTGATTAACTGGATTAGGCAGACTAGTAAAGTTAATCTGAATGAATATGAATAAAATATATCCTGTTAATAATCTGCTCAATCATCATTCAATCAAGTGAATAAAAGTACACAATGAACAAGGGAAGAGCGAGGAGAGAGCGCTGGAAAAAAGGTTCAATTTATTCACGGCACTGTGGCAGCAAACAAACAATGCAAAAAAATGAGAGTTAATCCTCTTTACACAAAATAATGTTAACTCTTGCAACAAAAGGTAATATCATTATGATTATTATTTGATAGTAAAACCTTTAAAGGTGAATAAACAGATTGAGGATGATTAGCAATGTTTTAAAGTAGAGATTAGCTGATCAACTGAGCAAGTTGATACAAAATGAGTTGAACACAAAAAGGACAAAATGGGTAAAAATTTGAGCAAATATTCAGATATAAAAGGCAACATCAGAAAGACTTTTTTTCAAGCTGGAAGAAGGCGAAGAGAGAAAAAAATGAATGAGAAAAAAAAGCAAAATGCTTTTGTTGAATTTGCAAGAACAAAAATGAAGAGAGAGAGAGAAGATGAAGGCGATGAGAAGAGCATTTAACACTGTTTGTCCTCGAAATGCTCATTCCTTTAAAAGTTGTGGACCCACGAAAAAAAAATACATAAAAGAGAGAAACACAGAAGGTTAACTCTAGTTAACAGTTTTGCTGGAGAAGAGGAAAAGTTTTGTTCATATGGTACCAAAAGCGTTTGCTTTTGTTACAGCTTATCTGAAATGTTGCGTGCAAAGATGATGCTGAAGATGATGAAGAAAAGGCAAAGCGTCAAATAATGCAAAGAAGAAGGAAGAAGATGCGAAGAAGAAGAAGATGGAAAAGATGAAAAGAGCAATTGCAATTGTTAGTTTCACTTTACTTTTCTTCTTCTTTCCTTTTCATTTTACTTTTCTTCTTCTTCTTCTTCTCTTCTTGTCTTCTATATGAAAATGGTTTACACTTCTTTGTATGTGATTATAAGCAACTCAAGAAGATACGATGATTCGATGATGATGATGATGAGGGAATGTGATACAATAAAGTGAACATCAAATGACTTTCTAGACAATCTTTTCGTAGATTTGAGGAAAACTCAGTAACCAGTTCTTTCCATCCCTCTATTGTGTATTACAATGCATCAATACATCACTATGATTAACATTTTTACTTGTTATAAACCAATCATCATCACATTCAAGGACAGTTGCAAATTGAATTATGAACAAAAAATTCAACAAGTAATCAAGAAACTTTCAAAACGTCAAAACGCTTTTCAGAATCCAATCTGAAAGTTTCATCATTTCTAGAAATTATTTTAATGATGATGACCGGTAAATTGGTTGATAACTAATCAAGTGATTTTGTTTACAATATTTTCCTAATCACAATGGATGTTAACTTGAGTCGACCAAAGATCTGATCAGTCGACTTAGTCCGTTCTGCACTTTTCAAATGAGCTTGAGTCCATTAAAAGGTTCGTCTTGAGGTTTAATTTAAATTTGAAACTTTTCTCCTTTTCTCCTTTTCTCCTTTTCTCCTTTTCAGTTTCAATGTTTCAATGTTTTCAATGTTGCTCATCATTTCTGGTCAAAAATTATAATTAACTGACCAGCAAAGAAGATTAACATTAAAATGCTTTCTATCATAGCGATATGATTGAGATAATGAAAGGTCAAATCCCTTTTTACTTTCCATCCTCATCATCATCTTCATCACCTTTTGATGAGCCCATCAATCAACATCCAGAAAAACTCATAACCATGACTTTAGCTTTTGTTTTTAGCCAAAAGTAAAAAATCTGAAATGTATAATCAGAGAAGAATTTAATTTTTTTCTCATTTTCTCATTGATAACATTTTTTTCATCATTAACTAATCATTAAAAGAAACGAGAATTAAATATTTAATAACAATCAAAAGTAATTAAAAAGATTTAGTTGGAACAAAAATTGTTTGTTTTTTCCAGTAAACATGGTTAACATGAACTTATTGACTTAGATTGTTGGATAATTGCAATTATAATTATAAATTGTTATGTAAATGGTGAATTAAAGATTAACACTGTTAATCTGGTAAAACAATTTTCAAGGTAAACTTGAGATTATAAGTGAATGACATAGTTATATTATCATCATGTTATCCTTAATATTAGTTTTGCAACAGAAAATTGAATCACTAAATATTTCATTTTTGTTGGTTCAGGTGAAAATAAATCATCAGTATCATGAACAGATAAGTTGAAAATTTACTTGAAAAACTTAGATAACATGAAATTAGGCTCGGGAGAGGAAAGGTTGAGAATGAAGAGGATAAAGTTTGTCTTGTTGATCGTCTTTTTTCCTTCTGTTCATCTTTTAAATCCTTCAAAATATCATCATGGATCATCTTTTTTTTTGTCCTTCTATTGAATCTTTCCTTGAGATTATGGAAGTAAAGCAAAAAGGTGAAAAAAAGTGGAAAAAAGGGAGTGAAGATGATATTGCTGTTGATGATGGTGATGATGAAAACACGGAAAAATAAATTGATAGTGACAAGAGAATGGAATTCATTTTTTTCTTATCTGGTAAAAAGGCAAAGATCTTAATTCTTGAGCGATTTCAGGATTGAAATGATCCTTGGTCATCTGGTGATCACATTTTTCCTTTCACAAATGTTTCCAATTGAAGTGAAAAGACAATTGAAAGGTAAAGGAAGATGAGAAAAGATGAAAGTAAACAAAATCATCTTGAGATGAATTCCAATTGAAACTTGTTTCACTGCTCGGTGATGATGCCATGGTGACTCTGATGGAGATAACGATGATGTTGGTTTGCTTTAATTTCCTTGAGCTTGTCAATGTTCAGAAAATTGTCTTCTCTGTTTCCATATTTTCTTCTTCTTCTTCCTTTCTTTTTGTAATAAATTTATCACACAAATTTGAACAGGAACATCATACAAGAAGAAGAAACACTTTTCCTTTTTTTTCTCTCTTTTCTTCTTCTTCTTCTTCCCAAGACTGAAAGAGGCTAACGAAGGTAACCAAACTAGAAGTAGCTCAAGTCAAGGGAACGCAAACCCAATGACCTTAGCTAGAGGCACACACACAGAAGAGGCGAAAGAAGAAGAAAAAGAAAGAGAAGATTTTCTTTCTCCTCCCTCCTCCTCCTTCTTCTTACGCTATCAAGTGAACCAGGTATGACTACCAATGGTATTCATTGAAAACCATTTATCATTCATGATTGAAGACAGGAGATGAAGATGAAAGGAAGAGACACAAAAATAGTTAAGTGAGCAACAAGCAAAAAGAGAGAAAAACTTTTTCTTCATTTTCGCAGCATTTTTCAACTTTTTGTTTCAGTGTTTGGTTCAGTCTTTTTTTTTCTTGTCCATCCTCATTCATCCTCTAGTGTGACAAGAGTTGAACAGTGATAACACACAGTCAACTGGACAGTCCAGCTTGTGTCATATCAGTGAAAGCTCTTGACTTTTTGATCCAAACGCTTCTAGACGCTTCAACAAGCTTTTATCAACAACATTGAACATTTATCTCTGAAATATTCATTGATGGAAAGTGCTAATGCTTTTTTAGCCGTTCAAAGGCTTCATTCATTCAACTTTTCAGAAAAACTGTCAAAATGAACAAAAAATGGTTAAAATTAACTAAACTGGTTATTATCAATCTCATTATCATTATTATTATCATCATCATTGTTAACATTATTATCATGATATAATTATTATTATCCATCGACTCTTAACTTGCCTATTGGAACCTGTATTCAAATACAGAGTCATCTTGGAGTAAAGGAAAAGTTTCAATTCCGGAAATGAACTGTACAATCGATAAAATGAACGCATATAATCTTGAACACAACTGAAGATAGCGAATGTGTGAGAAGAGAAAAGAGTAAAGAAGATGGCAAATATAATCTTCTTCATAATGATCATCATTCTCATCATCGTCATCATTTTCATCTTGCTGTTAATGTTTCCAACCCTATAAATGTCCTATAACATCACATCATCACAGAGAGAAAAAAAATGATGATGAAGAAGAGATGAAAGAGAGAGAGAAGAGAGAGAGACAAACGCAATTGAAAATTGAGCATGCTATTTGGATTATTTCAAGTTTTCTCGTTTGCGTCGTGCTCATCATCATCATTATTGAAATCATGTGACCTTCAGTTTTCAATGAAGGAAACAGATATGAAAATGATGATCATGATGATGTAGTAACCAAGACTACGAAAGATTTTCATCAAGAAAATGAGCAAAAAAAGTTAATCGTCAACATTGAGAAATATTGAAGAGTTGAACATTTTTAATTGAAACAAGCAAAAAATTGTGATGATATAGTTATGGGTTTCATGAAGAGATAATCATGTGCCATGGAAGAGGTGATAGAGAAAGGTAAGATTAAGGAAACATTGAAAAGACGGAAAGCAGTGTGAAAGGTTTCAGTCTAAAGGCGAAAAAAGCACGTTTAGCAAAAACTTGCAAATGAAATTTCAACTTTCATTGACATTTTCATTTTATTCAACATTTCATTGAACAGAAAGTCTTGAGTGAATGGCTCTTTTCATGAATTTACTGAAGTTGATATCAAATTTGAAGGGAGAAGAAAAAATAGAAAACAGAAAAGTTCGATCTTATTGGTACTTTCATTTACTGTTATAAAATGTATGATTGCGTTAACCCTGACCTCTGTATTTACGCTAACCTTACGCGTTTCACTGTGAATTTATTCATGTTAGATGTTAACATGTTAATAATGTGATGCCATTTGAAACGCGGTAATAATAATAATGATAATGTTGATAGGTTTTATCGGTTGGCTGTGTTTTAGTGAGTTGAGGTTAGTGTTAGATTTTAGTTGAAAAGTGAGGTTTTTACCTGATCAGGAGTTGATGCTGAATCCGAGTGATGACCAGGATCAGTTGAGCCGCCTCGGCCTCCGTTTGATGCACCTCTTCCACCTCCTCCTCCTGGATCACCACAACCAGCTCCTGCTGGTCCACCAGATCCATTGGAAGAGGAGTTATTGTTGTTGTCCCCTAAATCGGGTTTGATATCCCTTTCGTCGATAACAAGATCAATGGGCATTTTACCCTTTAAACAGCTTATGTAACGTTGGCAAAAGTTATCACATAATTCATGAACTTTTTCTAATTCCAATAGATGAAAGCGTAACACTTGAATAGCTTGAACCATTAGGCTATCCAATTCCGGATTGGGAACATAAAAGGGTCTCTCTGTGCGAATTTGTTTGGCAAAAACCTGAATATCCTCATTGAATGATTCCGATGAACACACATCCCCACTTGATAAACCCGAGTCTCGAGGTGTACAGGTTGCTAATTCACACTTTTCAAAGATGAGTGCAAGTAACGGAAACAATGGATGTCTGAAAAAAAAGAGGAAAAGAAAAATTAGATTGAGAATATTTTCATGAAATTCATTTGTCAAACTTACCCATAAATTGCATCCTTATCTCGTTTAACTATGTCTGTTCCCATAACATGATTACCTTGATAACCATGGACTGCATTGCCATAGTTAACCGAAGGACCGTATTGAAGGGTCGTCATCGGATCGTAAGGATGCTCCATGGCCATAACTTACCTTTTACAATATTTATATATTTATAATAGATAATAATAATAAAAATTAACTAATAAATGAAGAAAACTTTTGATGGTAATGAAGGTTGGTGAAGGTTTTGTATGGATTATCCGTAAATTATGTTGCAAACAATTAAAGATGATCGTTGATGGTTTTGTGTTTTTTTGATACAATTTATGGTGTTCACTAGGTTGATGTATAGCCGTGGTTAATGTTGATGGTTGATGATTGCTGTTGCTGTTAACTGGTGTTTTGATGGTATCAATGGTTGATGAAGATGATGGTGAAGTTGATGATGAGACGGTAAGGGTTAGTGGTGTTACTGTTGACGCTGTTGCTGGTGATGTTGTTTGTTGTTGCTACCTTTGTTGTTGTTGTTGTTGTTCATATAATATTATATGGTGGTCATCACATCATTCCTTCGCAACAACAACGTCTTTAACAACAGTTTTAACTGATTATCTATAGAATAAAACAAGAACTCAGTCAAAAGTAAAAAGCTCAACTTGGAAACATTTCGAATAGCAAAGGCGGAGTCTTTTTAAGGCGGACCTTTCACCGAATGAAGGTGGACCTCTGAAGAGAAGCGCCATCTGGTGGACAATTTTTGACGAACTCAAACTCATTTCATTTCTTGTTAGTTGAAGATGAAGATGACAGAGAAGATGATCAAGATGATCAAGATGAAAATGGAAGATGAAGAGTAACAATTTCGATTCAATGTTAGTAACTTGAGATTGAATGTAAACGAAATAAAAATTGGACAAAAAATTAAATTGAAGACAATTTTGATTGTTCCCTTTTTAAATAACAATTAGTCTCAATGAGTTGTCTAGTTAATCGTCGTTTAGTTATTGATTAAATTAAAGGTTACTTTGGATTGTTGATCGATTTTTTTTTATTTTCATTTTGTTAGTTCGATCATTAACAATTTGGCTCTTTTCAGATTCATTTGACTGTATCTTTCTCGGTGAAAACAAATGATCACAGTAACGTCAAATTTTTGTCTCGAAATTGTGACTAAACGGAATGGATTCTAAAAGAAATGTAACGACCAAATGGGGGCATGATTTGATTAACACGAACTCAAAAGGCTGAGCTTTTTAGGAATTCGGGTTCCTTATAAAACCACGTTCTAACAGGAAAAACGAAATCCGTATTCTGAAGCAATGAAAAAGTAAAAATTATTTTTTTTGGTTTGATGAAGTTATTGTTTATTGCTGGATGATTAGATGATGATGGCTCTTACGGCTCAGCTTCTTGAGTTGGCGGTTCTGCTGAGGCTGTGTTTAAAAATAGTGAATTAAACACCGAAAGATTCCTAGTCACACCGTTAAACGGAGATTTAAATCTGACTATTACTTTATACATGGTGAAATTTAAACAAATATTGTTCAATTCACGATCAAAAGTCACATGTGATTTCTCATATGAAAGTGGTCCTTAATCAATACAAGACAAGCAACAGTAAAATCATCAACCCTTACCGTCTCTTCATCAACATTGATGCCATCAAAACACTATTTAATAGCAACCATCAACATTTATCATTTCACCACGGCTATACATCAACTGACTGCAACAGCCAACTTATTCAAAGGACAAGCTATCATCGTTATCATCTCAATCCCCAATCTTGACTGATTTATAAAGTTATTCTTGCTGATTAGGATACAATCAATGCACATTTAAAATGGTAAGTTTTTAAATGAGAAAAAAATGTTCAGAATAAGAAATCCTAAAATGTAATATTCAGATTTACATTGATATCCATTTTGAGATGAAATAAGCCGCAATCAGCCTAATAAGATAATTTGACTAAGACTATTTGATTGTTTCAAGGTGAAGTAACCAAAGAGTTACCGCTGCTACATTAAATGTATCTGTGCAAGTAAATGATCAAAATTAAACATTCAATCAAATTCATTCTATCTGGAAACTTTACTGATCACTTATCTATTGTATGCAATCCAGAGAATCCATTATTTTCAGTGTAGAAGCTAAAGCGGTGATATCTAAGTTGCTCGATTTCCCTCGTCACCTTAATCAGTGTTTTATTGTAAGTAAATCGAGAGTTTTATTTTCAAGGATTGTTTATGTGACAACAGATGGCAGCTTTGTTTCATAATATTCGGTATTTTTTTGTGCACCAGATGACGACTCGGTATAGTAAGAGGTCGATTGGTTACTGGTTGTCGGTTATTTTGTTAGAGGGGAAAAGTAATCGAGTTTGTTACGTAATCGATTGTGCTCTTTGGTCAAAGAGTAACCGGTTATTTCGTGGTTGAACTGAGAGGCAAATTTGAAAAGAAAGATGAGAAAGTAAAAAAAACTTTTCTAAATATCTTGATAGATGGCAATAAAAAGATGAAAAAATTTTATTTTCAAGTTTAGCGGAAAAAAATTCGTAACCAGAAAATAACCGGTTAAAATATTGTATCGAGAATTGAGATGACAGAATTCACGATTTTCCAACTCGATCTGAAGATAGAAAAATTAGATCAGCACTAGAAATGAGGAGATTTATTCGGAAACCAATACCGGATCAAGCTTTCCATGATTTGATTTTCTTTGCTACTGTTGACTGAAATGGTTGAATAACATTTCAGATTATTGGTTATTTTTGTATATTTTAGGCCGGTCGTGCTTTCTCGAGTACTCCAATCTTTAAAGGTCAAGCTATATCAGATCGGAAGTGAAATGGATCGATTTTAGCTCACATCGAAGCTCTCAAAGAATGATTTTCCAGCACTTCATCCTTTTCTGTCATCCCTAATAGAGAAGGTATAAGATTTAAACTCGAGGGTGGAACCCGAGTGGCAACTATTAATTTGCCCAATTTCAAAACAGTTTCAGTGGATACAATTTAACCATTTGATAAAATACTGGCTACCTTCAATATAGTGGCTCAATTAGGGTAACCGAATAACATAGTTGAATAGAGTTTGTGTATTAAAAATTAACCAACTCGAGTAAATACAATTTATATTTCTTTCAATTAATTAACTAATGCATCTTTGAATAGCTGAATTTATATCAATCGTCTTTCTTTTCTGTGGATTTGACTACTCCAACCATTGCCGGTCTAATTGTCCTACCATGAAGTTTATAACCAATCTGGGTGACTACAGCTACAGTTCCAGGCTCTTTTGATTCATCTACAGCTTCAAACATAGCATGATGTTCATTTGGATCAAATTTAGCACCGAGTGGGTTGATTTGGTTCAGTCCATGACGTCTAAATACAGTTTGTAAATTTTTTTCCATCATTTCAACTCCATTTAGAAGAGACTTGAAATGCTCGTCTTTCACTTGATCTCGAGGAACACTTTTGATTGCTACTTGTAAAACATCGGCAACTTCCAATAAATCTTTGCAGAAACCTTGAATACCAAAAATCTTAGCATCTTCAATTTGTTTCATCATTCGTAGTCTGTTGAAAATGAAGTTAAAGATATGGAAAATCAACTGTCAGTATAAAATTACTAGCATTGTTAGAAGGAATATGAAATCATCAAGTTCTAAATACCTCATGTTTTCTGTCTCAGCCAAAGCTCGTTTGTATTTATCATCGATTTCTTCCACTTTCTTAGTGAGACCATCAATTTTCACTTGTAATTCATTTGGCTCTTGCGACTCAACTTCTTCTTGAGTTGGCGGTGGTGTTGAAGAAGCTGTGTTTGAAAATAGAGAATTAAACACCGAAAGATTCCTAGTCACACCGTTAAACGGAGATTTAAATCTGACTATTACTTTATACATGATGAAATTTAAACAAATATTGTTCAATTCACGATCAGAAGTCACATGTGATTTCTCATATGAAAGTGGCCCTTAATCAATACAAGATGGCGTTCTTATCAAGATTACATATCAAAATAGACTTACAGATGGCGCTTCGTAAAAGTAGAAGAATTAAATTTTACTAAATTAACAAAAAAATTCAAATTCTGATTGCTGATTGAACAAACACAAGTGAAACTATTGAAAAATTACATTCGGTGGGAACACAATTACTCAGATTAGAAAAAAAACTAATTCTTATCCTTATTCTGTCTGTAATAACGATTTTTGACTATTGAAACTAATGAGTTTTTAATTTTGATCAAATATAAGTTGAATTTAGCGAAAAAATTGAAAACATAATTTGAATTAATCAATGAATAGGAGTTTGAATATTGTTTTATCAATTATTGATATTTTGATGATTAACATTTTTCTATAAAAGTTTAAATAAACCTTAATGTGGCAGTCTAACGGTATGAGTTTTTAAATGATTTTGATTTTTGTGTACAAAAAATTGCACAAATTAGTTAATCGATGGATATAATGATGATATGAAAAAGAGTCTTGTTATATCACCCATGTGATATAATTGGTCTCGCGTTATAAATTTAGGACGAGCTTTGCATAAAGACACTGCTTTTTATATCTATAATCCTTTAACTTTGAAAAGCTCAGGTTCTTCAGCATAAAATTGTAAATAATGATAATAAAAGGTGAATCCAATAAAATGGAAACAACTGTATATGGAGTTGAGAAGAATATAAATGTGTGGATATCTTGATGGTGGTTTCAACATTGTGCTCGCCAGTGTTAAGAATAGACATCCACAGATGGAAGAAACAAATATTATGGTTCTGGCTTTGTGAACAAGATTGAAATCAACAGATAGTCCCATATCACGGAAAAAGGCAACATAAATGATCAATGAGAAACAGGTAAGTGCTAATGAAGGCATAATCAAACCATCTTTGGCCATTAATGGAAGAAGACTGTGGAATAAAAAAGATACATTTAATTAATAAAAATTTTCTTAAAACTCAACAAATTGAGATGAAAAAGATCTCAAAATAAGAATAATCAAAATCGAGTTACGAATTCACATAATGCATGTCAAAAATAAATTCATTAAAAGAGACATCAAACGTTGCCAAAAATCTAAAGATGAGCTTCTTTTCAAATTAGTAACAACATCTCTCGATAAGACATTGGAATCAGAATTGATGTTGATAAAAAAATTCAATATTCATACCTAAAAGTTGATATTATGTAAAACCACAAAGTGGTAAATGGATGTTCGTGAATCAACAGAGTGACAGGCCTAGAAAAGAAGATACAGTTGAAAAATCAATGTTGTTTGGGTAAAAAGGAGTCATATTTCAAACTTACAAAGCGGCAAGAAGAATAGTTTTCTCATGAACTTGGAAGGATAATAGGAAGAAAATCAATGATGTTCCAGCCTGAAAATAATGAAAGAAGTGTTAAAATATGTAGAAAAGATTAACAACTGTCCAATTTACCATATTATAAATGAAATTTTTAATCGTCGGGTTCTTGAACAAGTGAAAACTTGACGGTAAAAGGCATATCAATGTAGTTATAGCAGATATTTTGGCCATATTCGAAGCTGAAACGAGTCTTTTGAGTTTGATCAATACTTCAAGCGAGCACCATATGTTTGCAACTTTATCCTGTAGATGAGAAAATTATAAACGAGTTAGACATGGTCATCAAAAATTTAATGAATACTGAATAATGAATACACATGAAAACTAGAATTACCTCATAGAGTCCTCTTGATATGGGAAACAGGCGATAAACAACTGATAGAAAAGTTTCAGAATCCCAAATAAATGGGAACCAACAGGCTATAAATGTCATGATTACTGCTGAACTTATGGTGGCTAGGGTGATCATACTTTTAGTACGATTAGGATACTGGAAACAAATTCCAAGAAGAAAGAAGAAAAACGAAAAAGAATAATAGAGGCTCATCTGTTTATAGTTGAGTGCTAAGCAGTAAAAAACAGAACCAAGGAAATATCTGCCGCTCATAAGCATAACCACGGCCCAAACAGTAAATCCAAGACTGACACAATTGTATTGAAAATGCCCATGGTCGATGAGAATCAATGCTGGATACATCAGGCCAATAGTGGCAAGCATTCCTCTTTCTCGTGGTTTTAGAGGTTTCCTCACAACCATGAAGTAGTAAATAAGGCCGGTGAAATATATGACTACATCACTAATCAAAACTGTACTTCTCATGAAAATCTTATGATCATATCCTTGTGTTCCTCTTGAAGTATGAAGTCTGACCCATGATTCATTGATGGATTTGCCTATGAATCCATTAACCCAACTATGATAAGCTGTAAGAGGTGGATAGTCCAAGCCCCAATAGAGAAGATCATTGTCAGTTGAATTTTTGTACCATTCTGATGGCTGCAAGTTGTAAGTAATCTCTTGCCAGTGACGCTGTGCTTCATAATCACCATACAGTGGCGGATTACGGGCTCCTGAAAAAGACAATTTGAATAATTAGTAGGATTTGAGATAATAAGAAAGTAATAAGCAAAGAAAATGAATATAAAAGAAAGTTACCTGAGTAAGAGAACCGCGATATTAACCATCTCAGCATGAAATTTAAAATTATACTTGGTATTAGAAAGCTGTCCATTCGACCAATTGCTTGTTGTGCACTTTGGAAAACCATGTTCACCGGTTAATTAATAAATTATCTAATTTAAAGAATAAGAAATGACTACACAGTTTGAGAGAAAAAATAACAAAAGAAACTAAGCAATAACAGCCACATGTGGAAGAACAGCTCCTTCTTGACACAAAGTGATGTAGTCAGATGATAGTTTCTATACAATTTTCAGTTTCATTGATTCTTGTGTTAAATTGCCAATATTAAATTGTTTAACAAGCCAAAATTTTCAAAAATGTAATTAAATGTGCAATAAAGGTAGGAAATTTTAATGGTTAGATGTTGGATGAACACCTCATCTATATATTGCTCTTGAATCTAGTGATTCTCTTTCAAAGAGACTCTCTATCTGACTAATGATTGTCATCAGTTTATTTTGATTGTTACACGTATGTCGTGATTGGCAACGTTTCTTTTTTACTATCCTAGAACTATGCATAATCAAAATTCAATACTTCATTTTCTTAATTGATTCTTGTAAATTCTTTGGTTTCCACCTTTAGTTTACCATTTGCTAATCTCGTATTGGTGCATCTCATTCATTTTCCACCCTTTTTAAAGTTTGATGACTATGATTGCTTCTAATTATTGATTATACTTCAACTTTTTCACCGGTAAGATTACTCATTGATTTTAGAGGAGAAAATTTTAATTACAAGTGTTCTTTTGCATATTTTCATTTTGACCAGACTTGATGTACCAAACTTCAAATTTTTAAGCTACAAATTTTCGGGGAAAAAAGGAACTCAAATATTTTACAGCATAATGATCAAGGCGGTGATTTTAATAGGTGGTCCTCAAAAAGGTTTGTATTTCACTTTGATAATATTTATGCGTAGAGTCGAGTTTGGACCTTTTCTAATTGCTGCATGTTATAATTTTCGTATTTTCAGGGACTCGGTTTCGTCCATTGAGTTTTGACACTCCTAAACATTTATTCCCTGTTGGTGGAAGACCTATGGTCCAGCATTTGATTGAAGCTTGTGCCAAGGTTGATGGATTGAAAGAAATATTTCTTCTGGGTTACTATCAAGTGGATAATTCCTTAAATTCATTTATACGGAACATGATGGCCGAATATAATGTAAACATACGATATTTACAAGAGTATACAACTTTGGGTACTTGTGGTGGTATATATCATTTTAGAGATCAAATATGTCGACACAATCCAGAGGCATTTTTCTTGATTAATGGTGATGTCTGTGGGGATTTTAATCTACCCGCCATGTTGAATTTCCATCGTTCCATTCCTAAGTCTGAAGAAGGGGCCATGACTGTGATGGTGACTGAAGCAACTCGTCAACAATCATTAAATTATGGATGTGTTGTCGAAGAAAAAGAAACTCATAAGATTCTTCACTTTGTTGAAAAACCGTCCACTTTTGTTAGTACCATTATCAATTGTGGTGTCTATCTATGTCCCTTGAATATTTTCAATCAAGTTGCCGCGGTTATAAAGGCCAAACAAGAAAGTAATACTTCGGAAACTGGAGACGAAAGATATGCTGATGATTATTCTGATCTCAATATAAGCAAAACAAATGATGATCTACCTGAAATATTGAGCTTAGAAGAAGACATTTTAACAAGGTTAGCAGGAACTGATCATCTTTACGCTTTCCATACCAATCAGTGGTGGTGTCAGGTGAAAACATCTGCTTCAGCAATTTATGCCAATAGAAATTATCTGAAATTGTACAAAGAAAATCAATCGCAATTTTTATCTGCCAAGTCGCAAGATGGACCCGAAATTATTGGCGATGTTTGGATTGATTCCAAAGCTGACGTCGATCCTACAGCAACGGTACTCGAATAGAAAAATTTTGAAATTTAAAAACTAACATTATTTTTATTTTCTACTTCTCTAGATTGGGCCGAATGTAACTATTGGCCCAGGCGTTAGAGTTGGAGCGGGAGTCAGGATCAAAGAATCAATTATCTTGAAAGATGCTATGATTGGTGATCATTCATTGATCCTACATTCCATCATTGGATATAATACAGTTATCGGATGTTGGACTAGAATCGAAGGAACACCAAGTGATCCAAATCCTGATAAAGCATTTGCCAAAATGGAAAATCAGACCTTATTTAATAAAGATGGAAAACTTAATCCCTCTATAACCGTTTTAGGTGAGTTTTGACTAACGGAGTGTTAATTGTAGGCCAATTAATATATTTTTATTTTTCTGTTCTTTTAGGCTCCAATGTTCAAGTACCTTCTGGTTTATTAGTTTTGAACTCAATTGTCCTACCGCATAAAGAACTTGGTCGCAGTTATCGGAATGAAATTATTTTATGAACAGTTGTTTTTTATTACATGCTGAATGAAAAACACATCATCTATGTCCTTATCAATTCAAAATGTTTGATCAAAAACATCAATTGATGAATAAAACATTTATCTAGTTTTCTTAACGAGTTAATGCAGGCATAACATATTAATTCATTTCCTTAAACACAGAAATGAGTGAAACAAACTCGTGAGTAAACTCTTCAATCAACCGATGAGGGTTGCATCAAATGATAGTGAAGCAATTTTTACGAAAAATGAATCAAAATGAAATGATATATTTTTAATTTATAACTTTAAATAGCTCATTCTAGAGAATGATCAGTAATACATTTATTGCATTATATATATAGTATATAGTTTCAACAGATTAAATAATTGCTATTAAGGTGCATTTGTTGTGTAATTTGGATAAAAACTTAATATACGCTAATTAGACTGAGTTCAGTTTAGTGATGATGAACAAGGATATGGAAACAAAAAAAGTGCTGGAAAATTACCCGAGTATATCCAACCTATTTAGATGGATCTAAATGAGAATTCAATGTAAAATTCCTGCTGGATCAACGTAACTTGATGTTCATGGAAAGAGCCTTTTTATGTGGTGGACTTCCCCAAACCTTAGGAAAAGTTTCCAATTCTCGTTTAAGAGATTCCTTAAATGGCAAAGTTCTGGCAGAGTGGATGATTGTCTTAAGAGCATTGATTGTAGATGTTGGTCCACCAATATGTTCGAGTAACCATTCTTTTGTATAATCTAAATTACTTTTTTTGGACTCGGGTGATTCTTCGATGATATGCGTCGCTAAGCCAATATCTAAAGCTTCTTGAGCAGTCAACTGTCTTCCAGAAGATATAATTTCGAGAGCCTTATGAGACCCAATTATTTGAACCAGACGAGTCCCGCCTCCCCAGCTGACGGTAATTCCTAATTTGATATGAACAAAACCAATTTTAGCAGATTTAGACATTAATCTGAAGTCACAGGCAGTTGTTAACTCAGCTCCACCGCCAATAGCTTTTCCTTCAACAAGAGCAACACTTATCATTGGTAAGGCCTGCAATCTTTGAAGAGTATCAAACATTAAGATACCCATATCTCGTCCATCAACACAATTGTCGATTTCTTTAACGGTATTCATATCTCCACCAGAACTGAAAAATCCATCAGTTCCATAGATAATTATACCTTTACCCTTGAATAAGGATAAAAGCAAAACGAATTAAAATTATAGTAATTTGATATCGAAAGGTGATCACAACTTACCTTATCCCATTTCTCAAGTTCACTAACGATGTTATACAAATCCGTCATCATGCTTCCAGAGAGAGCATTCTTTCTGCTTGGGTTGTCGAGGTTGATTGTGGCTATTCCAGTTTCATCGTCTTTGATTAATTTCACTGAACCACCAGAGTATTTGGCAAATTTACTCTTTAATTTATCTAAATTTGTTTTGTGTCCATTTTCAAAGATGAGATCAGAAGCTTCTTCTTCAATGGTTGACATGTTGACGCAAACAAGGTATCAACAACAATAAAATGAGATATAAACAAGTTCTCAAGCTGTGCTAAAACACTAAAAACACGATAAGAAGTTAAAGACCAGAATGAAACAAACAACAAATCAACTTAAAGAAAAGGAAAAAGAAGAGTGAAATTGTAAGGAATACTTTTGGCAGTTACTGTTAAATTGATGTTTTGAATGTAAGTTGTTTAGGTCCTGCAGTTCAGGTACACTTACTGATCAAAATTAATCGACCAAGATCAACTGAATCGAAGGAATTAAACAAAAACTTGATAGTTGCTCCATTTGTGGATACTTTCCGATGGCACAATATTACAGTGAAGTATTCGAGTCAACAAGTTTCATTTCAGGCTCCATCTATTGATTTAGTAAACATACATTAAATCCATCATGCCAATTAATTTGCTCGCAATTCAAGTGATGAAAAATTAATCAAGAGATCACCAAGGCCTTAAAGTCTTTCCCCATTTTTGTCAGCTAAAAAGACAGAATCGATTACTTTACAGTAGTCCAACAAGGTTGTCGAGGAAGAAGGAAAAATGTCCAAATTATAAAATGATGTAGGAAAAGTTAATCATCTTCAATAAGTTTAAATGTATTTTAGACAACAACTTTCACATTCTGAGAAAAGGAAAATGAATATTTCATGAAATTAAATTAGATAACAATCACAATATTTTTAAAAAACTATAGTACAGTTACTGTACATTAAAGTGTAAGGTGAAGATAATAAGAAAATAACGTTTAAATAGCTTATTTTCACTATTTTCACTAAACACTTTGAGCTGTTGCTTCAAATTAGCCTTTACTCAACGAATGCATACTAATTATCTCAGGCTAATCAAAAAGTGAGCATCAAATTATGATTTAGATTCTAATTAACAATTAAAGTCATTTTCAAGATTGTTAATTCAAGAAATGCGACATAAAAGTCGTTTTAGTTTACAATTTATGATTACGTTAGTGCAACTTACAAATCAAAATTTCAATTTCTTATTCAATGTTTTCATTTTCATTTACATTGTTACTCAAGTATCAATCTAGCTGACAACTTTTACTATTAAGAAAGGCATATTAATCTTTTGATAATCATGTCAAATAGAGATGAACTTTCACAGTTCTTGATGCGACTGTTGAAGATAATTTTCTGATCATAGTTTAACACTATTAAATAAAAATTCGGGTAAACAAATTGAAGACATAACTGGCTGAAATTAAAATAAAATTATCAATAGTTAATTCCCTTTTCAAAATGGTTAAAACACAATTTCATTTCAACTTTAGGCGTGCTCATAAGTTATGTTATCCCCTAACAACCAGATGAGCGTTTACAAGTGTAAAAGTGTAAAAGAAAAGCTTGTTTATCTTTTTTTCTCATGTCGGTTCTCTATACTTTCAATTGTTTTCATTTATTTAATTGTGATTTTTATTTTTAACAATTCTATTTTTTTAAGTATATCATTGATACACAATTATTTACTGATCAGTTCATGAGCAATTATAAACAAATTTGATTCCTGTTCATTTCTTCTTTAAATTTATTGTTTTCCTAAGTTCCTTACTTTTTGCTTTGCTTTCTTAAACAATGGAAACTGGACGTGAATTTTTGCCTTACTTGCCAATGGGTGGTTCAATTACACCGATTGCTCCTTATACTAACATGATTCCTTCTGGATTGGGTGCTCTTTATGCTGCTTGTAGATTATTATACCCTGATCAGCCAAATCCTCTCCAAGTTACTGCAAATCTTAAATATTGGTAAGCAATTAATCATTCAATCAACAAAAAAACACCATTTGCATTGTTTTCAACCCTTGTTTTGTTCTTACCTTTCTTTCAATTTTTCTTTTTATCAAATTCAGGATGAAAGGACCAGATCCTTTGGATTACATAAGCATGTATTCTAACCCAGGTGATCCTGGTCAAAATATACCACCACATTGGCATTACATTAGTTTTGGACTGTCAGATTTATATGGAGACGAAAGAGTTCACCAGTAATGATTTGCCAAAATGATTTGACTAACACAATGTACAACCTTGACTAACATATACTACTTTTATTGAACTATCTTCAAGTTTCACTTTCCTCTCATCTTTATCTATTGTCGTATATTGTTTTTTCATCGTTCTGTTTTATTTATTTGTAGACGCAGGTATCCACCTTCTCCAAGTGGTTTCGGTTTTGAGCTTACATTCCGTTTGAAAAAAGATGATGAACCAGGACCTCCAACTTGGCCTGCAATGGTCATGCAAGCTTTGGCAAAATATGTATTTCAATCGACAAATGTTCTCTGTGCTGGCGACCACGTCTCTTGGCATTGTTCATTAGATAATAGTGAGTCACGAATCGAACATATGCTGATGACTGAAGATCCACAATTAGGAACTGTCAATACTCCTCATGGGCATGTGACTTTTATACAAATAGTTGGTGTCTGTGCCGAGGAACTGAAAGCAGCTCAGCAATGGAATGGACCTGGTATCATCGAGCTTATGAAAACTATTGAAATCGCTGGAGGCCCTTGGTTAGTTACAAATATGCGAAGAGGAGAAACAATCTTTGAACTTGACTCCGAAATTCAAGAAAAGGTAGACAAGGGTATTATTGAGGAAGGCTCAAATCTAAGTGGAGTCAGTGCCAAATGTGCGTGGAGTGAAAAACCATTCAGTAATAATGATGATTCGAATGGAGAAGAGGAAGAAGAAGATGATGATGAGGATGAAGATGAAGATGAGGACGATTCAGATTCAGATTCAGACTACAATGAAAACCATCCCATTCTAGAGCGAGTTAATCAGAATCATGGTCATCTTAATCACTTAAGTAATCTCAACAGTAATAACGTCCTGAACAACAACAACAATATTAATAACTGTAATAATACCAACCCTAACAATAACTCTTGTGCCTCTCCGATCGGCGGTATGTCATCGCCCGCTTGTAATAGTCGTAATTCAAATATGTCCATTACCCATGATCAACAAAACCAAAGTAATTCAAGAATGTCTTATGCCAGTGAAACAGGAGCTCCAGAACCAGGTGAACTTATTCAAACCAAATTCCTTGAAAAAGTTTATATCAGACTTAATCACGAAGCTGGTATGCTTTTACCCTTAGCTTTAAGGTAAGTTCTGCATCATCAAATTTCCATTCCGTTAAGTTCTCGTAAAAATCATTGTCGATAGGACAAATTTAAAAAAAATTGGTATTCAAATGACGTTAAACTTAATTTGATAAATATTTTCCATTAACAATAGGGGAAGACTCAAACATGGAAGACATTTTACGTTCAAAAGTATCCTTGGCGATCTTGCCATAACTTTTGTTACGCCAACTGTAAGAGGATCTCATGTAAATGAAGAGCAACCTTACGCCGTTCATGGACCTTGGCTACAAATCCTAATTCCTGATCGAAGCATAGACACTATGCTGAAAGACTTACAAGATCTTTCTGATCTTGACTTTGTAAGCAAATTACAACCAACTATAATAGTCACTTATATTTATACTCAACTAATTGAATTCTTTTTATCTTTTTTTTCAGGAATCTCTTCCTAAGACTTACGATTGGTCTGAATTAAATTTATCCATTACATTAGTGCCAGAGGATAATCTCAATTAGAAGTATAGCTTCTCATTCCATTTTTATCCATTTTAAATTGAGCTGACCTTTTAACCATTACCATGACGATCTTAAAAATGACACTTTAAGTGTCACGAATCATGCAAATTTGATCTGATTACTCACTTCCCAGTGAATCCTCTACTTATGCAACAATATTATACTGTATGACGATTCAAATTTGACGAAACCAAAATGATTAATCTTCCTTTCAATCTCATTTTTTAAGCTTAATGTAAAATTCAGTCTAAATGAATTACTTTTCTCATCAATATCTAAATCGATGCTACAATTACATAATTATTGTAGTTTTCAACAAATGACTGACAGTTTTCAAATTTTCTTTCATTTAAGTATAAAATTCATACAGATAATTGATACAGATGATATTCTTAATAAGTTTGAGTAAAAAACATCTAAACAACGACCAAGGTTTACCTGTGAGATGAAGTCAAATTTCTAAATATTAACTTATAACTATTAAATTACATTAGAGCGAATTAGTTGGAACTTAGCAAAAAAATTTCTTTGATAAAATGATCCATTTTGAAACTGTAAACAATCGTAGCTATCCTTTTCTGCATCGATGTACGTCCAGACATTCAAGCACATTGGAGCTCCATAGGATATTATCTAATGGAACAAATGATGATTTTGGATCATTTCTGGCTTCTATATCAAAAACACAACCTGAAAGAATCAATGGAGTAAAAATAAATTCATATTAGACTTCAATCAAGCCAATAGATAAGATGAAACATCAAATTAGGTAAACTTACCGCGAAAGGTTGTGAAAGTTCTTAAAGGTGATGCCTTATGATTACCAACATACAAATAAGGTTCAACATTGAGTCTATTATATCTAGTTTGAACAACCTCAAGATCTCTTTTCAAACCATCAACCACTAACCAGGCTAATTGACGGTGTTGGCCAATATAAATAGCGTGAACTTTTGTATTGTTCATTTTTCCGACCATTACTTTAGTTCCTGGTAATTTAAAAATGAGAAATAAACAGAATTTGAAAATATAAATAATCCAAGTTTGAAATTAATTTCCTACCTTGGCCCATGTTAATTTGATAAACAACCATATCGTCAAGAAGTGATAGGCTGAGAAAATCTGTGGGTCGACCTTTAAGTTTAATATTATTTGTATTGCCCAAGAAAAGTATGAGTGAATTATTTTGATTGGCATCGGTAGTCATAAACCTAAATCTCAATTCAAAATGTGATGTTTGGTTAAGAAGTCCGTAAATCATGTATGAACTAGAAGATCCAGTATCTTTGTAACCAAACGCTGGAAGGCTATTGTTGAAATCTAAATTTTTGTAAATGATGAAAATATATTTGATGAAAATTGTCTGGTTTTAAGTTGATTAAGACTCACCTAATTGACAATATTCCCCGAACCAACCATTGTTACATAAACAATTAAATTCAAATGAGCTTGTTGCTAAACATAATCCATCATTTTGGCACGGATTAGGAGAGCAATCAGCTAAGTGACATCTTCGGCCAGAGTAACCGGGTGAACATAAACAAGACCAATTACTTGACGATTGTAGACATTGACCACGGCCATTACATGGATTATTCAAGCAAACTGTATTAGCTGAGCATTCTTCAATATCGACCATTCGTTTGATCAAACGAACACCATCAATGTTTATATCTTGCAAACAACCTTTGAAAGTATAATTGCCATTATCAATGAAGGAAAGTGACCTTAACCGAGAATTAGTTTGTCCTAAATAAAAATCTCGGAAACATGGCCAAAGAGGAATCCGTGAAGATCCGTAAGAAACACTCTGACCATCAATAATTGTATAATTGTGATTTAAGGTTAAACGAGCAGTGCATGAGTTATTTTGTAAAACCAATTGAAATGTTAGAGGGTAAAGTGTTGATTGGTTAAGTTCCCGAGGAAATTCCATCAAATCCATTTCTTGAGAGTTACAAGAAAAGCTAACTTTGAGTCGATAATTTTTCAAATAAATTATTATAAAATATCTTGAATCAGAAACTGATTGAGTTGAAAGTAAAGTTCCGTTGGGAGAGAGAGTCGAGAAAGATAAATTGATGGTTAAACTGGAGATATAGCGTTCTTCATCAGTGGTAACAATCATGTAAGATGATCTTCCATTAAACTTTGGACTAAAAATTGTTGCAAGATCAATGGCATCTTTTGTTTCCAACGCTGATGGGTCCTCTTCATTAAGATTAGAGCTTGGTGGAAGAAAAAAAGAAAAATTGTTCAATGGAGTCGAGATAGATCCGATATGTAGTGAAAAACTAGTTGGAGAAGGCGATATAGAAATGGTTGAATCATAAGCAATTGTCATTTCATTCTGGTCGAAAGATTTTGCGATTGAACCGATAAATTGATTTCTATTTTCTGGTGCCATACTAATTGAAGATGCCTCAGTTAAAGGTTCTGTTGATTTTTTCAAACCTTCAGGATATTCAAGTGTCATAGAAGGTTCAATCATAGGATTAGAGCTACTCTGATATGGAAAAAGATTTTCTGTTGTGGATGTTGTTAAATCGGAGCAACGAGGATCAGGTGTTGATTGTGAGTCAGTGGAACAGCTTATTTCACAGTGTTTCCCTTTGAAGCCGTTTAAACAGGAACATGAATAGTTGGTTGGTCCTTCAATACAGAGTCCATCGTTGGCACAAACATTGATTGCTGGCATACACTCATTAAAATGTCTCTCACAATTGATCCCATAAAAACCAGGGACACAATAGCATTGCCTGGTTTGAGGAGAGGTTGAAGTAGCCAAACAAACAGCACCATGTTGACAGTCATTCACTTCACATGGAACCAAAAGACTTTCACACAGTTTACCAGTTCGATCTATAAATTGTTAAAAAACACCAACAGCTGTAATAGGCATTTATAATAATTTCAAGCACTAAATCAAAGGACACATTACCTGATGGACAAACACAGCTGAAGTCACCAATCTGACTGATACATCGAGTTCCGTTGAAACAAGGATTAGGGTCACATTGATTAATTATGGTTTGACAACGGTCACCTTTGAATCCATTTAAGCAATGACACTTAAACTCCAAGCCAGGACCCTCTAAGCATTGTCCACCGTTCAAACATTTTGTTTCCTTTTCGGTTTCATTGCAAACTGTTTTATCTATCTCGCAATATGCACCTGAAAATCCTGGTGGACACAAGCAATGAAATCCATTCACCCTGTCAACACACGACCCACCAGATAAACATGGAGACGATAAACATTCATTAATTTCAGTTTGACAAAGTTGCCCTGAAAACGAAAACAAATATTAAACTCAGAAAATTGGCTTCACTATTTCAACTAACCTGTGAATCCTGGTGGACAGACACAATCGAAACCAGCTACTTTATCAATACACTTTCCGCCATTACGACACTGGTTTAGCAAACAGTCATCATAATTGATTGAGCATTGATATCCTGTGAATCCATTGTCACAGTAACATGATTTGAAATCTTTTGAAAGTTCAGACGGTTTTGATGAAGAGTTGGACAATTCAGACCAACAGATACCATGGATACAATTGGTACGATCACAATCGTAGGTGGCATGTACAAAATTAACAAATACAATTAGTAAAGTAAATAATAAAATAAAATGTAAAGAAGATCGGTTAAAATGTCCAGAAAAGGTACTTATGTAGTTCAACATATCCTATTCTTTCAATACATGAGAATGTCCGAAAATAAAATAGTTGAAATAAAATGCCATTTGTTAAAAAACGAGCTATCTGATGATCCGCGAAGACAATATTGGACGTACTATTAAATAAATTGTTTCTATCTTCTGTATCCTTTCTTTGCGTTTTATACATTTCAATGTTTAACCTCAACACACAACTTTAATCACTATGGAGATGTATAACTTTATGTTTACCTTTTGCCATTATAACCTCTTTCTCATTTTTTGCTATCCAAAAGAAACATTGACCTTTTATCAATGCAATCTATTGTTATAATTGTAAATAGTAATTCCAGTGAAATAAATAGCAAACGAGTGCCTGTTTTAATTTTTTTATTAGCAAACAATCAACGGTGCAATGTACTTTTTATGGACACCTCTACGATTCAGTGTTGATAGAGATACGATTTAAAAAAGTGAATTTTATGAGACTCCTCATTTGAATGATAAGAAATATCTCCATTCAAGCGGTTCACACAATTTTTTGGAGTTAATTAATCCAATTTGAATTTCGCTCTTATAATTATAATAACATCAGTCAGATTTTCTGATTGTTTCAAATGAAAACAACAAACCTGAAAATGGGTTTGCGTTCTTTTTTCATGTATTATAACTCAAGTGAGAATAACTGAGCTCTCTTTTTTTACTGTTTGGCATTTGAAAGGCAATGTTTATGAGACTCGACTCATCATCGGTTACACTCTTCTTTCTCGCTTTCTTTCATTCTTCTCTCTTCTTCTTTTCTCTTCAATTGGCCAAGTAATACTTCTTGTTTATTATACTAAATTAATTATTAATGGTTACATACTGTGTATGAGATTAATCTGATTTTGTACATTTATCAAGTGAACTTATTCTCTACCTCATCTCTTAATTCAATTGTGATCCGATTATTTATTTAAGAAACAAAAGTGTATTCTTCTCTCTGTTTTTCTTTACTTTCTCTTCTGGCTAGGTTAACGCCTCGGTCATGAAGCATCAGTATCAGAACGAGAGTTCCCCTCTATATTGCTTTTTACCTCAATTTGGATACAACGAGAATCTGTGAATTTTTCCTCTCATGTATGCCCTAAACCAAGCAATATCTTCTATATCAACAAATGGTTCACATTCTGGTATCTTTTTTTGTATCTCAATGCACTGTGAATCTTCATAGTAAACCATTTCTAGTCTTATACCTTCTGTGTTGATCCTTCATAAAGCAATACAAAACTAGGCCTTTAGGTTTACCGTTATTTTACAACTCAACATTTCACCACTTCAACACCTTTTCTGGTTAAATTGTTAATTCTCATCAATACCATCATCATTGTAATCACATCTTTTTTTTCTTATCATTGCCAAACAAACCGTTAAACCTTATGCCGGTATGTATCTTGTTTTCATAATTATAAACATTTCAACAGCTGAATGTTTTGTTCTATTGATTTTATTTTTGCTCATATGATGTTCTGAAGCTTTATTATTTTCTGTTTTTTTCTGCTATTCAAATTTCATGATATTACTAACCTAATTTACTTGGTTTGGTCAAAATATTTATAAAATATTAATTCTTGCATTATTTTATTTATCTGTTATTGTGACAGGTGTCAGTGATGGACAAAAAACTCATTGAAGACAAATGTCTGATCGATTGTGAAGAAGAAGAAGAAGCTGAAAATTGTGATCATGAACCTGGGCTTGAATTTGATGATTCTGAACTGGAACACACCAAACCGCAGGGTAATAGTTGACCGCTTTATTTCATCATGCAGTTTGATTATTTCAATTATTCAGTCAACTTATTGTATCAAATATTTATATTTATGTTTCTTCTTATTTAATAGACTTAAGCGTTATTCCTGATGCTTTGGTAGATGATACGGTTGATTATCAATTCATGATGCTCGATGGCAAAACAAACCCCATTCTATACCTTGAGTCACCGGATGAGCTGATGGAGGATAATTTCGAGGAAGCCTTTCGAGATGCTTTACTTTCAGATGATCTATCTGATCTGAATAAAGAGATCGGACCAGGAGAGGATTTTAGTGACATTGCTAAGCATGGTATTGTTGAAGTTGTTGGAGATGATGTATACGGTAGAAAAGTAATTACAATTTACGCCTGTCGATTACCATCTAATAAGAGTCTGGATTTTAATCATCTATTGAAGTAAGCGTTCAAACTCGAAAATATTGCGCTAAGTTTATCCTTATTAGACTTAAATGTTTAATAACCTTTTTTCTATCTATTTATATTTATTAATCATTACATCTAATAATATAATATTTCTATTTTTTTATTATCTTTCCATCATCTCTACAATTGCAATCCTGGCAAATCAACTTAGATACCTGATGTACACATTGGACCAGTATGTTGAGAATGACTACACGCTTGTTTATTTCCATTATGGTCTGAATAGTTCCAACAAGCCACCATTATCATGGCTTTGGCAAGCCTACAAAGCTGTTGATAGAAAATATAAGAAAAACCTAAAATCTCTCTATCTAGTTCATCCTACAAATTTTATTCGTATAGTCTGGAAAATCTTTAAACCAGCCATTAGGTAAAGACATTGATTAACTTACTTTTAACTGTTAAACTTTTTTTTTGAATCGTTTTGATTTCTCCTACGCTTTCATTATGAATTGTGCCTTCTCAATCCTCCTCATTCTTACTTCATCCTGCTTTTTATTCAGTAGCTTTTCATTTCAAGATTACTTCAACTCACATCAATAATACTCTATTTACATTCTATAAGTCATCGAGTCGATGATGTGTATATCCCTCACTGTTAGTCACAACCAGCACTAATTGTATCAATTTTCAGCTATAAAAAGCTTGATAAGGTCTTAACCTTCGAAGTGTTGATGTTAGATTAAGGATAGTTTGTGCCTTTTTCTTTTTCTTGTACTTGATCAATGTTTTTGTTTACCGAAATAAGAAAAACATAAAAACAAGTGAAACATCATCACTCATTCATTTTATTTTAAATGATCAGTTACTTAATTTAAAACAGTCAAAACACCATTTTCAGTCTAAATACACCAATCAAATAAGAAGACTTTTTCAATTCTAATTTATTTTCTCAACAAATCTATTGTTATGATTTTCACGGAAATGTCACTCTCATTGCTAAACTTGTTGTTTTTCTTTAACTTGATCTCAATTTCAACTCAATTTGAATTATAACTAATTTGTTTTCTTTTCTTATTTCAGTGTTAAGTTTGGACAAAAAGTTAGGTATGTCAATTACCTTGAGGAACTTAAGCCTCACCTTCATCTTGAACAACTTCTTATTCCAAAAGAGGTCTTAGAGTAAGTATCCAAAAACTAATGAACAAATTTTTGAGTATCACTGAGTCAACACTATGCAAGTTGATTAACCATCTTATTAAGGTCGATGAGTCAAATTGAATGTCTTGTTTTCTTTGCTCACCATCTGTTTTAAAGGCAATCAGTTTTCTTCTGAACTTATTTTACAGTTTTGTTTATCATTGTGAGTTACAGAATGTTTCATCATCAGGATGTTGACTTAGAATGCTTAAATATTTGTGTCCAAAGTAAAATGTTTCCAAAAAATTGACTAATATTAGTACTTCCTTGACTATTATTTAACTTTGACAGGCATGATAAAAGACTAGTTGAAGCTGCTAAAAAGAAATCGTGGTTTAATGGACCAGCGTCGAGATCATTCCAGAATTTATCTGCTCCATCTCTTCTTGAGACACAACAGTTCCGCGTTTCCCTAAAATAGTAAGATACAGTTTAAATATATAAATATAAAGCCAGACGCTAATGTCTTTGTTTCGTCTTTTATTCACCTTTGGTTATCCACAGCATCAAGGAGCATAATAATGGCGACATAATACCTCGTGTGGTTCATGGTTGCATATCTTTTTTAAATAATGAAACAGCTCTACAAACTGAAGGAATATTCCGCCGATCTCCTAATATCAAACTGGTCAGTGATGTACAAAATTTATTTAACCAGGGTAAAGAGGTTAATTTTGATGATTATGGAGAACAAAGTGTCCACGTTGCTGCTGTTATACTCAAATCTTTTTTAAGAGAATTGGAAGAACCTTTGCTCACTTTTGACCTTTATGATGATGTGATTGACTTTCAACAAATCTCTTCTGGTAATCATTCTCAAATTGAGAAATTAGCTGTTGCTAAATCTCTAATTTTACAACGACTTCCAGAGGATAACTATAAGGTTAAGATCTTTCTTTACTATTTGATTTATTGAAGTTTAACCAACAATACTTATAATAATATTTCGTTTCGTTATTTTCAACAGCTTCTCAAATTTTTGGTCGAATTCCTTGTCAAAGTCATGGATCGTAGTAACTTGAACAAAATGACAGCTTCCAATTTAGCCATCGTTTTTGGACCTAATTTGTTATGGTCGATAAACAAGCAAGCTTCCTTAACCTCGATAACAAACATAAACCATTTTACTGAATTTCTTTTGAAGAATCATGATGTAATCTTTGTAAGATGAATCCACCAATGGAATCAAGAATAATTTATAGAAAATCTAACAAATAACTAAAAAATGATTGAAATACGCATCGAGAGGCTGGAAAGGAATCAATTTTATGCTAAATAGATATAATCTCATTTCCTTCATCTCGAAACAACAGTTGCACAAATAATTGACCCCTTGGTTCTTTCTAGATCTTAAAGAGACAAAATAAGCACATAAAAACAAAAAATTATTTTTCAAATATTTAAAATCGATATGATTTAATCATGATTACATATAGAATTATTGTTGTTCTGAACAAATTTTTCTTCCAATTTTAGAGGACATTCATCATATCAAAAGTTAATTTTGTCATTTTAATTTCACTCATGTTAATTCATAAGTTTGATCCAACCTCGATTGGAACACGAGACTTTTATGGGCTCAATAAGCCTAATCTAACCTAATCTAATTTAATAATAAATAATAAATAATAATTGCTATTCAATTTTCATTCAATTCAATCGTTTTTGTTATTATCTGAATCACTTTTCGATTTTTAATTTCAGACGTTTGGCTGGTCAAATCTATTCAAAATCTTGCCATTCAATACAAAAGACTTAATCAATAATCAATTTTTTTCAAACATTGAAATACCACCGAATCAATAATTTGGCCGGAATCGTTTCAATTTATCCAGCATCATATGATTGATGAGAAATAATAGTCTTAATACAGATATGAGTGAAACAACAAAGAGTAAGCATTGCGTTGTCACCGACAATAAAAATAATATTTAATCAATAAAATCAAATATAACCGGCTTGACCAGCAGAAATAAATTTAGTTCAAATCTGCAATCAGCCATTATGGTCGATATTGAAGCAAATAGTCAAAATGGCCAGCATGAGCCGATCAGTGTATTTGGCCGTGCATTTATACGAAAAAATTTATCAAGTCAAGTAATATTTTGGATTTCCTTAATCTCGATGGTTGCCAGAGGTTTTTACATTTTATATCACGTATTTGATCCAACAATTTCACTTTATAATAGCGATGTTTTTAAATATCAACGAATAACCTGTCAACTGTATTCAATCAGTGTTGGTCTAATCTTATTGCACCTTAAATACAACCGTTCCTTGTACATTGATTATTTGGATGTTTACCAAACACTTGTCAGTGATAACTTTGGGTTAGCTTCTACTGGATTTGTGAGAAAACAGAACCAAATTAAACGATTTTTTCCTATTATTGCAATCATCTATGAGATCCTAACTATTTTGATCCATCAATATTCATTCGATCTTCCCAAACTTGGTTTTTCATTAAAACTAATAGCTGCTTTCATTATAGCATCAATTGCCCAATGTGGTTATGTTTTTTCCATGCAATTTATCATTGAATGCTGCATCTACTCACAATCAAGTTTGATGTCTATGAACAATTTACTTGATTCTTTAATACATAAGAGAATCGAACCATCAAACAATATGAATCACATTGCCATGTCAATTCGCTTATATTACAGTAAGACGGTTGAATCTATCCGTCTTATGGACAAGTTTTTAACTTTTGCCATTTTCGTCTTTTATTTTTACTTTACTGGTCATTGTGTTCTCATTGTTGGTGAAATTTTGGATACTGATAGCTCAATCTATTTCATATTATGGTTAATCTTTAATTTATTTGGTGAATTGTCTTACCTTGTTTTAATAACTTATCATTTAGTTAGTGTAAATCAAAATTCAGCTCGTATCTTCGATAAAGTTTATCAAATTTCATTCTCCCTTAATTCCTCCCATTCAATTCAGACTATGAATGAGGTAAGTCTCAGCTAATAAAGGAGGAATGGCAGACGGTACGAAAAATGTAAAATTTTTTTGTCTTAAAATATTCTAATGGGTCAGATATGAGCCTTTGTCAAGCCTTATCTGTATATTTTAGGCCCAAAAAAGTTTAAGATTCGCGACTTGTCTGCCATGCTTCCCTTGTATGCCTCAACCGATTCAATTTGTCATAAAATATACTTGTTTGTCTTTAGATAAATTTACTTTTATTGCGAATCAATCGGAATGATGTTGGATTCACATTTGCTGGCCTTTGCATGGTTTCACCCAGTTTTATATCCTCACTGGCTACAATTTCATTGACTCTAGGCTTAGCTTTACCAAGTTTTATTGATGATAAATAATTAAATATCAGTAGTATAAATAACCCATTACTGGCTCAATCGCGAAACCGGTTATTGTAAAATTGAAATTGAAACTTGTTTTGGAATTCAAAATTTATTTCTGTACTTGAACCCAAGTGTCACCTTGGGTATCAACTACAAGTTTATTAAATATAAAACTTTGATTTTTCAATAAGTTTTTGATTGCATTTATCTCTTCATTCAATGTGTAAATCAAGAAATGTGCATTGGCAACCAAACTTTCCAACATCTTTATGGTCGAACTTTGTTGGTCAATTTTGACCTGTAGCTCCTTAATGGTCGTTTCCATCGTTGATGTTGAAGGAACTAATGCACCGTTAACCGATGAAACATTTTCACACAAAAACTTATCAACATAGGTTTGTAGAGTTGATGGCAGCTCAGCTTGTGGCTGTTCAACGGTGGACAGATCCATCGGAGAGAAACAAATTGTTTCATCTCCGAAGATGTCTTCAATTGTCGATGAAACTTGAAGCATGATGAAAAATATATATAACGAACTTTACGTCACTTGAGAGCACAATAAAATGAACGTATGATGAGTATGAGATGAATATAACTGATGATTTAAGTTCAATTTCACCGAACTTTTATACCAATTTAGATCAAACTGCATTTCATCTTCATTATAATAAATACAGCAATACACAGATAGCATAATTTTCCCCCAGAAATCGGAAATAAGATGATCATAATAGATTTTTTGACATTATAATTTGACCTTATTAATTAAGAACACATTAATCTTAACAAAGTTCAAGGAAAAAAGTTCAACCTTCAATCCAACAAAGTTTATCTAGGTTAACTAGATTAGATCTTGAACGAACAAGTGCAATCATTAATAATCATAAATGTAAAGAGAATTAGTAGATCAGTTTCTACCTGGGCATAAAATTTAGTATATAAATGAATAAAATTGACCATTCAATTCATTCAATCATCAAATCATCATCTTATCATCAAGTTAATAATTGAATCTTGTTTCATAGTAAAACTTTCACTTTCTTCGTTAAAGTTAATTCGCTTTGCTTTTTTCTCACAAAGTTTTCAACTTAATTTACAGCTTGGAGCATCAATACCTGATAAGCATCAATAACTGTAAACTCAACCTGAAACGTTTGGAAGTTGGTTTTCCTTTGATCTTCATCTATTGCTATCATCTATCAGCCTGAAGCGTTGACAATTTGGTGACTTATCGAAACCATCTAAAGGTAAATTTATATGAATTTATATATGTTTAGTTTAATGCTTCCCGAATTTGGTCAACTTTAACTTAAGATGTACTGAGTAGATTATGATGTGTTATATATCATTGTTTAGAGCTTGATTAGCAGAAGAAAACAATACTTTGATGATAGTGATCCAACAACTAGTTCAAAAAATTTAGTTGACTCACGGAGGGACAAAATAGGTTTTCGAACCCTACTTTGATCAAACTTGGTTGCAGATCTACTCGTTTGATTTTGATGTTTCATATATTGCCAGATAGCTCTAATTGAGCTTAAAACATAGATAGTTTGCACGTCTTGATCGGTCAAGTAATTCTGGAGATTGATTGTGTACACGTAGTGATAAATTAGGTTTTCGAGCTGACATTAGATGCAATACCAACCAACCAACTCACACCATCTATTGAAGGACAAAGTAATTAAACTCAAATTAAATGATCAGTATTTGCAGCAAAAGATGGTGGTATTGAACTGCTGTACGGATTTGATTGTGGATATTGCACGAATTTTGTTTTTTTATTCATTGCAAAACATATTGTTTATGCTTTTTTTCTTATTCATTTGACTCATAGTAATGAATACAAAATTTTGTCCACATTTTGAATGGAAGCCATGCTTAAGATGTTCAATACGAACGTATTTCTATGGAATGCCATTCGCTTATAATCATTTTTGTAAAAGATGTTACATCATCCCTGAAGCGAGCAGATGTAGTACATGTTCACCGATGTACTTCATCCAACGTGGTGATAATGTTGCAGGACATTACATACCTGGAACCAGAGAAGAAAAGAAACCTTCGTTGACTAGTTTCATGTTAGAGTGTTTGAAAGGAACAAGAGAGGATGAACCACAAAACCGATACAAGCGGGAGAGAGCAAAGAGAATGTGTGTCGTCTCATATACTCGGATTGATCAATCTGTTTTCTCACCTGATTAACAGATACAATGGGATACAACTTACGATCTCGTAAAGTCCGAGCTCATGTAAAAAGAGAGCACACAAACCCAACCCACAAACCTGGATTCAAACATTTCAAACAAGAACTTCGTATAAGTGAAATGAAGCGAGCAGAATTAGAGATAGAAATTGAAAATTTTAAAAGGAATTGTCTAGATTTTAGTATACGATATCGAACCTACTACGCAGCATATCTTCGTCAAAAAAATGAACTAAACCATTTACGTAATGAAAGAATCTCTCTTTTGTCAAAGATTCGTTTTCTGGAAAATCATAAAAATGAAGAGAAGAGCCACATCGCAGTTGTCAACATTGGTCAAAAAGCGCCAGATAAAAGCTATCAAACAGCAGATAAAAGATCAAAGTACCCAGACGGACCTGCCTCCAATACAAATACCAGCGAACAACGATAGAATGGCCCTTGCTTTGGAGGTCGTATCGCGCGAAGTTGGTTGTAATTATAACCAGGTTAGAGAATGCAAGGTGAAAATGAAGACACTAGCTTATGAGGTTATCCGCTTGAGAAAGGAAAGACAGATATTGACTGATAGATTCAGAGAGATGGCAGATAAATATTACAACCTGCAGCAAGCAATCAACGATGTTGATTTATTAGGCTTGCAAAATTACATTAGAATATTAGAGGCAAAAGTTCGCGATACTCTTATACATGAAAACGCAAAATATAAATAATTGTATTTTTATTTAAATTCTTTCTAATTTATAATCATTAGTAAAGGGTGCACAAGAAGTAAAGGCGCTTTTGTTTTTTGGGTTTATTTTACTTATTTTTGAACCAATTTTAAAGCTCTTTTTTTAAACTGATTAGCAGAAATCAGAGAATACAATGCACTATTTTAATCCATTCTCTGCATACTTTTTCAATATGCAACGTCAAAAAAATCAGTTCCTTGCTCAACGTATTTGTGCTTTCTTTGAAAATAATGATTGTGATCGAAAAAAAACTTATGATCATTTTAAATGTGAAAATATTCCTCAACAAAGAATCAGAAGAATCATCGATCGCTTCAATCAGAGAGGATCATCTGAATATTGCGAATTACCTGGAAGACCAAGGTCCGTTTCGATACCCACCGT